TCTGGAGGTAGCTGTGCAGGTAGCTCTCTGGGATCCCTCTTCTGGAGAAGGTTGTGGAGATGGTTCTCAGGGCAGTAGCTCTTTCGGGTCCTTCTCCTGGTGGTAGCTGGGGTTAGCTCCTGGGGCGAATCACTCTCTCAGATCCCTCTCCCGAGGGTAGCTGCGGGGATAGATGTCTTAGGTGAAGTTGGGTCCTGCAATTATATTAATTGCGGGTCTCTTCACGCTAAATCTGCACTTGCCATTGTGTTGCTGCTGTTCCCTTTGAGGCAATAGGGTTCCTGATAGTTAAGAGTTTGTGTCAGTGTACTTTGACTGAGGTTGAATGTCCAATACCTCTCTGAATGAATATTGATTGAAGTTGAATGTCTTGGTATCTGTATAGGCTCCATAATATCTGGGTTGGGGTAGGCTAAAGGGTAAAAGTTAGTTTTAGTCTAGAGTGTTCGGCCTGGTTAATTGGTCTTTTAGAGTTGAGGTGTGAATTGGATTTTCGGGCTGAACAATGGTTCCAAGCAGCTATCTCTAACTGTGTAATTTTCCCAGAGCATAGCTCAGCTGCCTTTTTTTTTAACTTTTAAAAATTATTTGTGAAGTCCAGGATTTTGGTCCAGTATTTCAGGATATGGAGATTTTTTCTCAATCCTGCACAGTCCCCACTTTTCTTCTGATTTAGAACAACTGTCTAACTTCATACTTTTAACTTGCTTCTCAAGGTTCAAACATTTTCTATCTCTCTTCAAAAACTTGTTTTAGACAAACAAGTCAATACAGAAAAATCTTAAACAGCTAATGTTAGAAATGCTTGCGCTGATCCAACAAATGGAGTTACATGGATCAATTTGAAGGCACAATTAAACTAAACAGATTGGTCTTAGAAATGTAAAGGTGATATATATTGTGTGATTTATACAATTTGAACACATAATTAATTTAAAATCTAAACTCTAAAATTGTAGTATTTAGGTGTCTATCAATGATTAATGTATAAGTATTTTTGTAGCCATGGTGATTTTCAGAACATAGTATAAGAGAGACTTCCTATAGAGTAATTGAGCTTTGTTTTCCTTGTGTGGGTTTTACCAGTGAACAGAGTAAACAGTTGTACATTAAATTTAATGTGGAAAATCCAGAATCTTTTTTGGCTTGAGGGAAACATCTGTAGTTTGAAGAAAGTCCTTTTGGTTTCAATTTGCAAACGTCTTAGCAGAAACTCGATGTATTAAACAATTGCTCCTGAAGAAGGGAGCTAGTTTAGAACTCATTTTAAAAATTGATTAGGAACATAGAAATTAGGAGCGAGAGGAAGCAATTCCACCTTTTGAGCCCACTCCACCATTTAACATGATCATGGCCGATCTTATCTTCCACTTTCCTGCCTGCTCCTCATAGCCCTTTATTCTGTTTTTCATCAGACATACATCTGTTTCTTCCTTTGAATATCCTGATTGATTCTGCTTCCACTGCAGTCTGGGGCAGTGAGTTCCACAGATTCACAACTCTTTGAGAGAAGTAGTTTCTCCTTTATCTCAGTTTTAAACCTACCTCCTCTGACCCTATACCTATGATCCTCTTGTTTGAGACTGTCCCACAAGGTGGAGGAACATTTGCTCAATGTCCACCTTTATCAATCCACTTTAGCATTTTATATACCTCAATCAGACTGCCCCCATCATATTTCTGAACTCCAGTGAGTACAAGTTCAAGCTATTCAACTGCTCCTCATACAAAAGCACTTTCATCCCTGGAATCATCCTGGTGAACCTCCTCTAAACTTCTTCCACTGCCACCACATCCTTTCTCAAATAAGGAGATCAAAATTGGACATAATATTATAGATATGATCTCACCAACGCTTTTTATGATTGTAACAATACTTCTTTACTTTTATAATCCAGTCCTTTTGCAATTAATGCCAGGATTCAATTTGCCTTTCTTATTATATGCTGACCCTACATGCCCACTTCCTGCAATTCATGCACAAAGAATGTCCAGATCCTTCTGCATTGACACACTTTGAATCTGCTTCCCATTTAAATAATTATTTGCCTTTTTGTTTTACCTTAATGTCTGTAGTTTGCAAGTTTCAAACCAGAAGGTTTGGTTAAAATTCTGGTGAGGTTATTTGAAGCTGAGAAAATCTAAGCTCAGTTTGATTAAAATTCAAAGAAAATATCAGATTCTCAAGACCGGGAATTGAAGCCATAATTAGGTAAAGCCTTACAGAAATGAGAGAGAATGTAATCCTCTCTGGTGTGAGAATAAATTGTTTTGAAATCATTACATTTCTGTTGTACATAAATATTTTGGTTTATTCTATTTAATCTTCATTTCTTTTGTGTAATGAACTTGCTTTATTGTTGAAACTGAATTTGCAGCATTGTGTGTTGAGTTTCGGTGAAAGACTACTTCATTATTACCAATAAAACAAAATATGATCTATCAAACCAGATTTTAGTCTGGGATCTGGCTTGTCTAGTAACAACGCCAACTGTGATCTGAATACCAAATTGAGAGTAGACCAGACAATACATACACTAACAGAGAAGTATTGAAAACATCAAGGTTAAATCTGAGAGATAATGAAAATGCTTAAAATAAGAATACTTTATTTCTGTTTTATTTATATGGTAGAACATCATTTCTAACAGTGAAGGGTCGGAATACTCCAGATGATAAAACATTTGCCAAATGCTACAACCAAACTGTATGTACACTGCCCAAATTCAGTAGATGATGATTCTTAACCATGGTCTTTCAGAAAGTCTCTGTGTGTCACATTGAACTAAGAATTTTAATAGTAGCACATCATTAAAAAATTAAGTTTATTATTTAAAACCTGTACAAGCTTGCATTCTGAAAGACAGGTGGAAAATTTTTGTCTGGTCTGAACATAAACTATTAATCCCAGAAACCAAGTGCAGTGAGTCATTGTGGCCAAATACAAAGGAACAATCAGCCTCTTCAACATAAACCAGAGTGTGTACATCATCTGCAATGGCATCTCCTGCATTTTAAAAAATGGCACCAGTACAAGAAGTCTATTCCTGGAGCTCCCCCCCACCCAAAAAACCTTTCCATAATACTTTCCAACGCTCAGATGCTTTTTCCTTAACTTGAATTTTTATGGTCATAAAATCACCATTGCACTATTCAGACATTGAGATATCATACATATTATTCTACATAATATGGATGAATGCCTAAGCCTGAAAGTTTTAAAATTGTAAAATTTGAGAATTTGTGTTCCATGGCACACAATTAACAGGTTTTTTTCAAGTCTTTTAGAGCAATCCTTTCATTTTTCCTAGAATTTTAGCCTCTATTTGAAGCCATTATCCCCTAAGTCCTTTGTAACTGGTAACTATTTCCACAAGAACAAATACAGTCTCCCCGATAGTATCATCAAGACAGCTACTACCACCCTGAAGCAGATAAAGCATGATTCACAAGTGAGGAAAAGTAAGTGAAAGGGAGCAGGAGGTGAACGCAACAAATGGAAACATATTTCAATGATGTGGCTGGCACAGGTCTCCAGTGGATAGTGGAAGCAGACTGTCACATAAAATTTTAGTGCAAGTTGTCATCTTGACAGCCACTGGGAAAGGACGGCCATCTATCCCTTTAGATGCAAGTCCTACTCCAACAGATGGCACCATTCTGTGTAGAGTCTTGAGACACTCTAAAGTCTGTGGTGCTAAGGCCCCTCAATCATGTGGAGGAAATGACATCAAGAACAATAGGCTAGGTGAATCTACTCTGCATCCTGAAGGGGAACTTCTGCTTTGGCTTCTCCATGTGGAGATAGCTCAGAAGGCGCTGGATGTTGTTGCCAGGATTTGACGATGTAGATACGAGTACTTCAGCCCATATACTGTTTAATACCTGATTAATGCAACTGTCCCTTGCAGGGCCTTGCATCGCTCCCAAGTAGAGCCTGCTCCCTCAGGCAGAAAAAAGACATTTACTCGACCCATTCCAGGACTGGTGGCAGCCACTTCTCATTTCCATTGCACATTTGCAATTCAGATGAGGATGGAAGGCATCACGGGGCAATCTGAGGCTCAGCTTCTCAATCTTGGTGACTCTTCTGTTCCTTGTATTTCCTGTCAACAGCATCATATCTGAGTTTCCACACATTCCCACTCATCTCTTTTACTTAAGATTTCATCTCCCCGATTTACCCCAAACCCTGAGTTACACATTAGTTATGCCAATTATCATGACATACTATGTCCCCATCAAAAATAGTGTGACCTCGATGACCCCCTCCTATCAGAACTGCTCTGGTGAAGGGCCACAAAACTCGAAATGTTATCTCTGTTCGTCTCTCAATAGATGCTGCCAGTCCTGCTGAGTTTCTCCAGCACTTTGTGTTCTTTATTAAGAAGAGAAAGCAGGCTACTAGCTGGCCAGGAAACCAAGGACTATTTTTCAACAGGAAAGCATATAGATCATAATTATGCAACATCTATAACAGTTCCAATCGTGACCAGTATTGCAGAATTATGGATCAGTGTTTCAGCTGAGAAACAGCTAATTATTCTAGCATCCCAGCTGTGTGTTCCGGTACCACTGAATCCAGAGCCTTTGTTGAGCCATTCATCTCTGCTGCTGCTCTGCTTTGGAGCAATACTTTGGAATCCTACCCTCCATAAACATAAGCTCATCCAAAACTCGGCTACAGGTTTCCTAACTCACAATAAGTCTTATTCTCCCATCATCCCTGTGTTCACTGGTGACATTCTGATTTTAGAATTCTCATTTTTGTTTTCAATTCCTTCCATGGCCTTGTCCTATTTTTTGTCTGTAATTTCTTCTAGTCCCAGAACATTACAAGATACTTGTGTTTCTCCAGTTTTTGTCTCTTGTGCATTAATTCTGATTATAAAATTGATTGTAATCAAATTTCAAAAAAAAAGTCAATGATGCTGCAGGTTTACAAGGCATTGGTTAACTCTCTCTTAAGTATTATGCTCAGTATTGGTCTTCCTATTTATTAAGGGGGAAATATCAATGCATTGCAAGCAGTTCAGAGGAATGTTTATCAGACGAATACCCAGAACGGGCAAGTTGTATTATGAGAAAAAGGTGGACAGGCTAAGCTTCTATCTGCTGGAGTTTATAAGAGTAAGGCAACTTGACTGAAACATCCAAGATCCTGAGGGGATGTGGGGGGAATGCCAAGAGAATGTTTCCTCTGATGGAAGAATCCAAAACTGGTGGTCATTGTTTTAAATTAGGGGTCATCCACTTAAGACAGAGTTAAGTTTCTCTCAGAAGGTTGAATGTCTTGGAGTTCTTTTCAAAAGGCAATGAAGGCAAAGAGAGAGAGATTCTTGATAAGTAAAGGGGTGTGAAATGTTCTTAGGGAGTAACGTAGGAGGAATGTAGAGTTGAGGTCAAAATCAGATCATCCATGACCTCATGATATTATTGAATATGGAGTAGACTCAAAGGGAAGAGTAACCTACTAATTTGTATGTTGTTCATATCTCCAGTTTTAATCAGTCCACCATTAGCAGTCATGTATTCCACTGCTAGTGTTGTAGGCTTTGAAATTCCCTCAAAGCCACTCCTTTCTCTCTTTCCCTCGTACTTATTTTAAGATAGGTTTTCCTCATCATTCTAATATGGTGCAATATCAAATTTTGTTTGTAATGCTCGTGTAAAGAAACTTGGAATGTTTTACCACATTAAAGGAACTGTATAGATTTAAGTTGTTGTTAAAGCTTGAGAGTCACAAATATCCTACTGTGCCTTCAAATAGTGGAAGAAATGAAGACAGCTGAAGAATGAAGAAATCACATATGCCTTGAATAGCATGCAATCAAATACAGGATGATTTGTTTTTGTGATTTTGATGCCGTCTTCACAACCAATGTAAGTTCTTCCTACATTTTGGCATTTCAGTTGCGATGTGGAGACCAGTTGTTCATTTTTGATTCCCTGAGTTATTGTGAAAACATCTTAGACCCTCTTGCTGGTGTTTCCTTTCCAATGGAAAAGGGCATAGGATTCTCAAATACAAACATAAGATTTTCTTTGATGCACACATCAGCTACACACTGTGGCAGATTTTCCCAGCAGACACAAGGAAATATTCATATGAACATCCATACCCTTCTTACCTTTAGAGGACGGAGTAAAGGAGTTTCAGTCAAGGTGACCCTTAAATCAGCCAATCAGTAATGACAATGTTCTGTCACACCACCTCCAGATCGGAGGGCCCATCTGATAAAGTGACTGACATGCTCATCAGATTGAAGGCTGGAGGTTAGGGTTACAGCTTCATCATAACTTGATCAACCACATTACAATGCATGAGAAGAGGAATCGCTGGGACCAGGCCATTCTTCAGCTTTCCTAGGTGCCACTTCCCTACCAGTTGTTAGGGGAAGTATAGATTTTTAGACTTTACGGGTTATATTATCCTTCCATACTAGAAGTAGAAGGCAGGTTTCAACTTTGTATGGAGTGATCCTTATGCAGCTAAGAGTCTAGTGTCCATGAGCATCTGTATAAACAGGAGAAAATGTTAATGAAACCATTCTAAGAATGTCTCTGGAGGACTTAGTCTAGGACTGGCAGCAATATCCAGAATGAGATTGATTGTTTACTCCCTAGCTGCATGAAGGAGAACTTAACACATTGAACTTTGACACAGAAGGACTTTTTTTTTATTTGCTGTGTATGGAGGAAGATTGAAATGTGGTTAAGAGGATGCTGAGAGTACAATGCTTTAGAGTTTTGCTTTAGCGTAGTAATTAAGGCAAATCTCTCCTTGTGTTGCTTAAGTAAAACAAGCATAAAAATCCATATTCAGTTTCCAACCATCGACTATTTAAAATGACAACACAGCTATACAAAGACACGGAAATACTGAGTAGTAGAGGACTAAAAATTTGAAATGAAATCCATTTCTGTAACTTTCAAACAGTTTTGAGAATTTCCTAATAGATAAGTGTTGTTTCACATTGCAGCTGCTATCACAGTTTGTTTGGGGTGGAGGGGTTACTGTGGTGGTGAGATGGCAGTATCTTGGACATCACAGGAAATCCCAATATCATGTCTTCAGTACACCTTGTTGTAAATAGGTATGTACATTACAAATAGGTAGTCACCAAAGTTCCAAATAACCATAGGGCTGCTCTCTCATTAAAGAGACAAGACTGGTGGTGATTTTATACTGAGGGTCACCCCATCCAACTGAGCTAACCACCCCCCCGACATTGTAGACACACAGACACCAACGGTACCATTATTAAGAGGGACCTAGGTTTGACAATTTTAATATAACCAACAATAGCTGTTTGATATTTCCAACCACCTTTAACCTCACTGATCAAAAATGAACATAAACAGGTAGCCTTCCTACTACAACATATCCTATTTAATACATGACAAGACCAAGGACTGGTCCCCTTCAAAGACAAGATACTGTCATAAGCTCCAGTTTATTATGGAAACTGTAAAGAGCATTACAAATACAAATGAGCTTGTTGGTTGATATATGTTGTAGAGTAAAATGGCTGATGAATACAAATCACACTTTCTATAGTACTTCTATATGGGTCAGAATATAGGAGATTTACACTGCAGAATTTCTCCACCAAGCTGCAGACACAACGATGTATTAATTCTTTATGAATTCTTTGAACTGTAAAAAAGATATTTGGTATTATTCAAAAGTCAAATATTTAAGGATTCTGCAGTTCATAGAAACCAAACAGTTTGATGTACACACAATTAAACGTAAAATCTAATCCATACAAAGCAACAATGGAGATGATGTATGTGATCTCTCCTTTTTTTAAAGAACATAACAAGGAACACAAGCAGGAATGTGGGGCTACTTGAGTTCTCTCTGCCATTCAATATGATCAATGATCTCGTCAGGTCTATTTCTCCACCTTCTGCTCTTATCCTTTGATTCTCTGAATATCCAAATATCTATCAATCTCAGCTTAAAATTTGAGCATCTACAACCCTCTTGGGTAGACAGTTCCCAAAGATTCACAGTAATTTGAGTGAATAAATTTCTCATCTGAATACTTTATCCTGAGACTGTGTCCTTACGTTCTCTATTTCATTAAGGGTAAACAACATCTCAGTGTCAACCTCATCAGTCACTGCAGAGTCTTGTATGCTTTAAAGAAATACTTCTAAACTCCAGAAAGTACAGGCCCAAATTCATTAAAGGATAACCCCTTATCCATGGACCCTGTCTAGTGAAACATTTCTATGTCATTTCCAATGCAAACACATCTTTCCTTAAATACAGGGACTAAAAGCTAAGGAGAAGCATGTGGTGTGGTGATAATGTCACTAGACTAGTAATTTCAAAACCTCAGGCCAATTGTCTGAGACCATGGGTTTAAATCCATTGTGGCATATAGTGAAATGTGAATTCAATCTTTTTTTAAAAAACTCGAATAAAAAATAGTTAATTGTTGATTGTTTATAAAAGCTAATCTGTTTTACCAACATCTTTTGGGGAAGGAAATCTGCTATCCCACCTGATCTGGCCTACATGTGACCCAGATCCACAACAATGTGGATGACTCTTAACAGCCTTCTGAGCAATTAGGGATAGGCAATAAATGCTGGCCTACCCGCTGACACCCATAACTATGAACACATAACTGTAAAGGTCAGAATGACATTCATCTTCCTTATTGCTTGCTGTACTTGTATACTAATTTACTGTGTTTCTGTGCATATTTACAAGTTCTGCACTTTTATCAAAAAATATTTTTCTATTCATACTAACAAAATGGATAACTTCGCATTTTCAAACATTATACTGCTTTTGCTATTTTGCTGTTAACTCAATTAATGTGTCTTTATATTTTTGAAGCCACTTCGTATCCTCCTCACAGCTAAGAGCAGGTTTGAACTTAATAGGTAAGGCACAATTTTGGAGAGGGAAATTACAGTCTTGGATACAGTCCCAGAACACTTTTGGAGGAGTCCAGGTGCCCTTTGCATTGTTAAAAATAGATACAAATGTGTGTCTGAAATATATAAAGTAATGAACGCTATCAAACTGATTGAAATTATGCACAGAGTACTGAATAAGTACCACCCAAATTGTTAGCAAAACTGTCAAAAGAAAGTGTTGAAAGTGACTACTAAAGCTAAGAATGCATTTGAAACTTGCTATTTAAATATTTGTCTGGGGTATTAAAAATGCTTGTTTCCTCACTCCGTCCATAGATTAACATGACTAAATGAGGGCTGCATGACTGATTTAACACCTTTCAATATTACAGCAAGATGCCTGTCATTTCAAAGTTTGATTGACAGTTACAAGTGGTGAATAGGAGTTTCAATGGGGTTTTAATACAGGATCAAATAAAGTTAAATGTAGTGTTTTTTTTTATCAATGAGAGTTTTTTTGTTGTTAATGTTGTGAATTAATCAAAAGAAGAATTTTATTTCATCTCAGCTGGGACTGAGGTTTGCCCATGACAGATACTGGATGAGTTGGCATGTTAAGTTATATTGGCTAAACGACAGGGATTTGGCATGATTTGGCAATAAGTTGGCATAGGGGTCATAAAGGTCTTTGGGCGTTGGTGGAGAAACATTGGTTTGCATAGAGGATATGACAAGCCATGGGTAGTGGGGAGAATGAAATGGTTAACGTGGATTGGCATGGAAGGGATTTTTGAATGCATTCAGGTGAAGGGATGGGGTATGAGATTTCTTTCTGTTGTTTTATTGCTTTTTAAAAATCTTCGATAAAGAGCCTTCTACTGAGCCTGCTTCTACACCCAGCAGAATACACCATGTTTTCAAAGTCACCACCATGCCTTGGTTCTCCCTCCCCACCATACAGGACCAAAATTCTGATGTTCTAGGGGAATGCATTTTTTTCCCAGACTGGATTTGTACAGCTGTAAAAAAAAAAATCCCAGGTCTGAAAAGTCAGGCTTTTGTCTGTTAAATTATTTCAAAATCCCTTTCTTTGTTGATACTAACTTTTTTAAATTCCTCAACCTTAACCCTAGGTTATCCCCTATTTCTGGAATGTAATTTATGGTATACAACTATGAAGAATTGTATAAAATATTTTTAACAAATCCACATCTTCCTCAGTCCCCTTAATAATTTGTCCTATCTATACCTGTAAAGCACAAACTTTTACTTTAGCTACTCACTTTCATAGATAATTATAAAATTTCTATAATTTGTTTTCATGCTCCACCCCAGTTTAGTCACATATTCCGTTTCTCCTCCTCTGTCAACTTTTCTGGTCACCTTTTGAAATTTTCTAAAATGCTTTAAATCCTTAGGATTACCATTATTGTTTGTAACACGTAAACGTTCTTCTTTTAATCTAATACGATCCTTGATTTCCCTTGTAAAGCATCAACAGATCTTTCTAATTATTGTTCATTTATTTAATGCAATATATTTGGTTGAACATTTTAAATTACTTCTTTCAATGTTTGCCACCCTTTTATGCTACTATTTCTTGTCTCTTTAACGAATCCATCTTAAACAGTCTCCCCTAATACGTGTGTAATTAACATTGTTCAAGCTTAGCTTTGTTTTTGGAACTGGAGTTTGATGCTGTCAGCTTTGAAATGAAATTCCTATTGTGTTATGGTTGCTTTTTGCCAGTGGATCTTTTACTGTGAGGTTAATAAATAAAGCTGTTTCATTAAACAATACTAGATCTAAAATTTTTGTCCCTATTTATTGTCCCAATATATTGTTCCAGGAAACTGTTGTAAAAATTCTATAAAGGTATCTTTTAGACCACTTTTACCAATTTGATTGGTCCAGTCCAAGTAAATAATAAACTTTATAATGATTATTACATTGCCTTTGTTATAATTTCAAATTATTTATTGCTTACTACTCCGCCCAATGGTATAACTACTGCTAGGAGGCCCATAAATATCGCCCATCAACATTTTCTGACTATTGCTATTCCTAATCTCCACCTTTACTAGTTCTACTTTCCCATTTTCTGAGCCAACACCTCTTTCTCACTACCATATGGCATAATTTATTATCAGGGCTGCTCTTATTTCTTTTCCATTCTGCCCATTGTTTGAAATGTTGTGCACACTTGAATGTTCTTTCCCAACAGTGGTCACATTGTAACCAAGATCCATAACAACTGAATTAACACAGATGAGATAAAAATAGGCATTTATATATCAATGTGTTGTGATTTTCAACACTGAGAAAATAAATCAATAGCACAGTCAAAAAGTCAAATTTTTTTGCAAGTTCATTTATCGTCTATTAACATAGAATGCTTTTATTTGGTTATTTGACTTAGTATTCACAGATAAATGTAGTTGTATAGAACTTTAGTCAGGTCACATTTGGAATGTTGTATACAGGTCCGGTCACAAAATTACCCAAAGCATGTGGAAGCTTTAGAGAAGGTACAGAAAAGGTTTACCAGGATGTTGCCTGGCTTGGAGGGTATTAGCTATGAGGAGAGATTGGACAAACTTGGTTTGTTTTCACTTGTTAGAGTCTGACCAAGGCTTACAAAACTGAGAGGCATGAATAGAATGGATCATCACAGTCTTTTTCCCAGGATAGAAATGTCAATTATTAGGGGACATAGGTGTAAGGTAAAAGGGTGGAAGTTTAAAGGAGATACAACTGGCAAGATTTTTTTACACAAAAGTTGGTAAGAGCTTGGAATGCGCTGCCAAAAGAGGTGGTAAAGGCAAATACTGTAGCAGCATTTAGGAGGCATCTTGACAGATACATGAACAGGCAGGACATGAAGGGATACGGACTGTACAGAGGCAATACATTTTAGTTTTGAAAGGTGTAATGTGTCAGCTCAGGCTTGGTGGGCCAAAGAGTCTTTTCCTGGGCTGTACTGTTCTTTGTTCTTAAACTACATTGGGAGACTCAAGTAATGAAGGTAAAGTCAGGAGAACAGAGGAAATAATCAAGAAAACTTCTAATTGGTTTCAAACTTTGACCATTTCCAATTTTTCTGGGTACTTTTTATTTTATGCAGTGCCCCAAAAACAGTAGCCAGCTGAACCCTAGTTTGATTTTTAGTTATTTAAAAAGCAGCTCACTGAACTTGTGATCCCTTTTGAGTTCTCAGTTGAAACACTAAACAGTGGCTAGTCTGTTTGCAAATATGAGAGAGAGAAAATTTGGAACCAATGTTAGTGTGCCCCTTAGAATGATCAAGGCAGAAAAGCATAGGTGGTATTGATTCTGTGGGCTTTGAAATCTCACAGGAGTAAGGTGAAAGCAGGCTCATGCAAATGCACTTACTAACACACCTACTCTAAAACAGACTCAAAACTACAAACCCTAGATGACCAAGCATTCTTTCTCACTAAAGAAGTCCAGTTCAAGCTTAGTTCCTGGACAAGATGGAACATTGATTCTTGGAAATTTCTTGCGGCTATTTATAGCATAGTTCAATTTTATTAACAAATTCCATTTCCTTTTTAGAGCTACGTATTTTTTGTATATGGTGTTATAACCAAAAAAAATGCATGATCTCATTTTTTTAATCCATGCAGGCACTGTGGCTTTGTTGACGGGGCCAGCATTTATTGCCCAACCCTTAGAGAAGGTGGTGGACAGCTGTCTTCTTGAACCACTGCAGTCCATTTAGTGTAGGTAGACCCACAATGCCATTATGGAGGGAGTTCCAGGATTTTGACCCAGCAATTATGTGAAGGAATAGCAATATATTTCCAACTCAGGATGGTGAGTAGTTTGAAGGGGAACTTACAGTTATGTTGTTCCCTTGTCCCTGCTGCCCTTGACGACCTAGATGGTAGTGGTTGTGGATTTATAAGGTGTTGCCTCAGGAGCCTTGGTGAATATCTACAGTGAACTTTGTAGGTGATACACACTGCTGTTACTGTATGCTGCTAGTGGAGGGTGTGACTGCTTGTGAATGTGGTGCAAATCAAGCAGACTGTCACTGGATGGTATTGAAGGGGGTTAAGTAGGTTAAGAGTTAGTAATAAGTGAAGCAAAAACTAAGAAAAAGGGCATCCAGACTATCAAGTTTAGAAGTTATCAAAAGCTTTGTTTGAGGAATAAATGATGCCTACAAAGAATGTGGAAAGCATTGTTAATATGGGGCACATGGATGTTCAAGTGTGGAAATTATAATTGTAATATGCATGCTGTAATCTGTATAATATTTGAAGGTGTTCTGTAATTCAACGAGCTTTGACCTCTTTTAAAGCTTCTGCCCATGTACACATGAAATAAGTGATCCTTATCTGTTCTCCTGGAGTCAACTATCAAATTGTCGAGTAGTATTTCTGCAGTCTCAAGTTTCTGTTGGAGCTGCACTCATTCAGGCAAGTGAGGAATATTCCATCATACTCCTGCTTTGTGTCTTGCAGTTAGTAGATTTGGAGATTCAGAAGGTGAGCCTTTTTAGCCTTTTTCCTGCTCTTGAAGCCACAGTTTGACTAGTCCAATTCAGTTTCTGGTCATTGTTAACCCTGGATTTTAATAGCATTCATTTATATCAAGGACAATGCTTAGATTCTCTTTTATTGGAGAGAGACATCGCTTGGCACTTGCATGGTACAAATGTCATCTGTGGACATATTTATGGACAACCTTAACTCAGCCCGGCATACTCCTGTATAAACCTACAGTTTGTAATGCCACTTCTCTACATTAGGATCAATATTTTTAATGGAGGCACAGGAAGTGGAAACAATGTGAATTCCCATAGATTTTACTTTCCTGCTTTACTGGGCCAGACTTTCAATGTGGGGTCAGGAACCCTGATGAATTCTAACGTCCTTACCCTGCACCTCATCTTTTTATACTTTACATTCAACTTGACTGACTGATTAGGAAAGAAATTCAGCATTCAATGAGTGGCACCAAACACTGCCTGGTACAAGCATCAAGAGGATGCAAAAGCCAATGTAGGAGCTGCTGCTGCATTGCTAAAGAGTGCAGGCAGCTCCCTGGAGGGCTAGCAATATCTACAGCAATGAAAAGAGCTGTGTAGGGTTGATTACGGTGCGACACGGGACTGGACTAGGCACATGAAGAACTGGAAAACTTCAATGAAGGGAAAATTTCTCACGTCCTTGCAGTCAGCCTGACAACTATTCACCAACAGACACCAGATTGTTCAGGTTTGCTGAAATAAAAAATCAAATTCAAAGGCCCCAAACAAGCCCCTAAAATACCTTAAGTGGTAGTTGATTGACAAAGAGTGGATTCCCTGTTCCACTCTTCACCCCTCCGCCCCCAACTTACAGACACCCCATCTTCTGATGGTCTTTGAAAAAGCAAAACTGTCCCAGGGATGTTGGGATCCCAAGATGATATTTATGACTGAGATTCTTCACATTCACACCAGGTCCCAATACAGTGGCCCTTTGAAATTCCAGCTGTTGATGTCAGTTTGAGAGGGTCCTTAACTCGTGATCTTTTCTTACCCTTGCTGATTCGGACACTGAAGGAATCGGGGCTTTGTTAATTTCGACAATGAAGACAAGTGGTAGATCATTCAACAAACATGAGTTCTGTTGTTCGATTAGTGAAAGGTGCACTTGATTGATCTTATTCAGCACGTTTTATTTTGCTCTTTACTCATTTCCTATTTACAGTTATTGAGTCAAACACATCACGGGTAATCTACATACAGCAACATCGAAACGAGTTCATACTGAGCTACAGTTAGGCAGTTTGAGCATTAGGAAAATAAATTAAAAAGCTAGAGCTGGCAGAGAAACATCCAAAACATCCAATCCCTCCACCATAGGCTCTCAGTAACAGTAGTGTGATCCACTGCAGAAATTCAAAGATCCTTAGCCAGTACCTTCCAACCCCAAGATCACTTCCATCTAGAAGGACAAGGGCAGAAGATACATAGGAACACCACCACCTGCAAATTGTCTCCAAGCCACTCACCACCCAGACTTGGAAATATATTGTTGTTCTTTCACTGTCGCTGGGTCAAAATCCAAGAATTCCCTCCCTAATGGCATTGTGGGTCAACCTGCAGCATATAGACTGTAGCAGTTCAAGAAGGCAGCTCACCACTGCCCTCTCAAGGGTAACTAGCAATGGGCAATAAAAGCTGGCCAGCCAGCAACACTCACATCTCACGAGAGAACAAAAATGGAGAGAGCAGAAAAATACAATGGAAAGTGGAATTAAAAAGAATGGAAATGTAGGTAAAACAGGAACTAAAACTTAAAAGACCTGAGCTTGAAGAGAAAGAGAGAGAATGAGCATTTCAGGAGAAAGATATGGAATACCAGCTTTAAAATTATAAATAAAAAAAAAAGAGATATCATGTTGCTGAACCCACGTTGAAAATCTGGCTCAATAAATCAGGATGGTACACTATTCAAATTATTTAGTTCATATTCCTGTAGCAAATAGACTGCACTGATTTTGCAAATGTCGAGAAGTGATGTACCTGAGGTCAGCAGAGTCTGGGGTTGTCCGCTGAGATTTCCTGCAATGGTCTGGGAATCCATGGGGTCCGTTTTTGCCTTCATGATGGTCGTTGTCATGATGGGGTTTACTGGAAGACATAATCTCATAAGTTATTATAAAATATCAAGCATGTTCACAAATGCAAAATCATTGGAGACAGTTTGCTGGACTTAAACAGTGGGTTGCATTGTACAGCTTCCCAAACCTGTGAATTTGGAGGCAGGTAAGCACGTAAAATAAAACAGGTAATTAGCCCACCATCCTCCTACCAACCTCCGTCCTGTCCCCCATACTAAGAAGGGATGAATAAAGTGTCAGGCAGACCACTATTAGATGGGTCCACTGAAGATTGGAAATGGGTACTTAACGATCTCTTAAAGCCACATTCCACTTCCACCACAATTTTTCAGGCAAGCCTGCTCACTGGTGTCTTCAATCCCCGCCCACCCACTTACCTTCAAGTCTGAGAGAGCTTTCTTCCTGGTGAATATTTGTGCTCCCAACAGTGGCTGGTACTCTCCTTTGGGACTGCTGGGACTATAGAATGCTGGTCAGTCCTATTGTACAGGAGCTTTCCGGGATCTGGATGGAGGAAGTTAATTTCATCACTGTTGAGGGTGTATGCTTCACTCTTCAGTAACTATGACCATCCTGGGTGCTCAGATTTATGGTTGGCACAGCTATGACCAGCACTTTTCCCGTAATTTATCTCCCAGTAATCGACCCATTAAGTTCATTTCTCACTCTACAGGAACTCCCTGACCCACTAAATAACTCCAATATTTTCCATTATTGTATTATCGAAGACAGAAGGAAGGCATTAGGCTCATTAAGTGTGCATTAAATCTTTCAAAGAGAGAAATCCAGTTAATCCCCTTTCCTGCGCAGAATCCTCTACTATGGTGTCAAAGTTTGGTGGTTCTTGTAGGAGAAAGCATGGCTTCTGTTTGGAGGTGGATCAGTTTTCCTTGCACAGTTATGTAATTCTGATTCTGAGCTCATTACAAATGTACACACAAGGAAAAGGGCAAGTCTTGTGACACAGGCAGGCAGGAAGTCAACAACATTCCCACGATTGTTCTCCTAAAGGTTCAAAGATCCTGGTGCCATTCATTGCCCGCAAGCCAGGAGCATCACTTTGGGCCGACATGTGCATTCCTGTCCTTCCACACTTCCCTAGTCAGCAAGCCTCCAATGGCTGGACAGACTTTACCACTTAGATAAGTTCAATGGGCTGTGTCTATTACACTCCAATTTCACTCCTTCATTTATCCTCAGTACTCGGTCCAACTTAGATTGCCACCACGGGAGATTAAAAACACCCGATATCAATCACGGTGTGGCGCAGCCAAAGGCTCCCCAAAGAGGACAAAGCAGCAGCTACTCACTCCAAGTACAGTAGCTTTTCTGTTGCATGCTTCTTGTAAGCAATCAGGAATCAGAAGGCTCATACTGCTCACTCACAGAAAACTTAATTGGGAAGGAGAACATAATTCTAGTGAGCCGGTCATTGGATGAGGATTTATGACAGGCAGGTAATTGCAAAAGGATTTCCTGACATTCACCACTGGGAAGCTCTATGATGATAAGTAAGTTTGCTGAAGACAGGAAGATTGGCTGTGGTTGACAGTGAGGGAAGAGGTCTTAGATTACAGGAGGGAATAGATGGATTGGTCAAATGGGCAGAGCAGTGGCAGATGGAATTTGAACTTGAGAAAAGTGTGAGGTGATGCACTTTGGAAGTAGTAACAACACAAGGGAGTACTCAGTGAATGGCAGGACACTAGAAAGCTCAGAGGAATCTTGGGCTGTTTGTCAAAAGATCCCTGAAGGCAGCAGGACAGGTTAATAAGGTAATTACGGCATATGGGACACTTACCTTCATCAGTCGTGGCATAGTTTATAAGATCAGGGAGGCCATGTTAGACTTGTATAGGATTCGGTTAGGCCACAACTGGAGAACTGTGTGCAATTCTGATCACAGCACTATAGGAAGGATATGATTGCACTGGAGGAGATGCAGAGGAGATTCACCAGGATAATGGCTGTGATGGAGCATTTTAATTATGAAGACAGGCTGGGTAAGTTCAGGTTGTTTTAAGAGCACAGAAGGCTGAGAGGTGACCTGATTTTTAAAATGTTTAAGATTATGAGGAGCATGGACAGCATGGATAGAAAGCAGCTGTTACACCTTGTCAAAGAGTGATTAACAAGGGGACACAATTTTAAGGTGAAAGACAGGAGGTTTAGAGGGGATTTGAGGAACTTTTATTTCACCCAGAAGGTGGTCAGACCCTTGCGTGCACTGCCTGGGAGGACAGTTGAGGTAGGAAACCTCACAACCTTTAAACTTGGATGAGAACTTGAAGTGTCATAATATTTAAGCCCATCACTTAGATCATGACCACTGAGTTTTTTCATCTTCAATGGTAGGTGGTCCCTTTTGTTTCAGTTGGTTATTTTCTAGTTGGTTATTTTCTATTTCTGTTATGCATCGATCAGAATACTCAAATGTTTTCTCCCAATTTTAATCTTACTCCAGTCACACATCATTGAGAAAAACATAACAACATGACAGTTTCTTCACTTCCTTAAGTTTTTCATGTGTGACGAGAACATTTAAGAACAAGAAGAGAAAAGGAAAGGTTCATGAAGGAAAACAAGTTGCAAGAATGGAAATACAGAAGAGTAACAAATGGATAAAGAAAATGAAAAAGATGTAAGTGAAAACATAAAAACAGCAAAGGACCATAGAAAATAAACACTGAAGATTAAAAAATCTGAACATGGCAGCTCACCAAATCGCAACTTGTGAGGTCAAGACTTCTGAATAGATTGATAATGAAAGTTCTAAATATTGAACTGAAGGCATTACTGGAAGGTTATGATTAAATCTGCTAAAATAGTTTACGTAGATAAACTTATGGAAAGTTACTCACCCTAAAGGGAAGTTTCCAAATCCGTAAGGAAATGTAGTTCCAAAAGCGGGAAAGCCTGCATTTTGAAACTTTTGACGACAAGCTCCCACATAAGAGATTTTTCCAACCACAAAACCAAGAACTCCAGCAACTGCCAAACAAAATACAAAGGAACTGTTGGCCATGCATTGTTACTAGTACCTTAGGGATCTGGTGAGATACTCCTGCTCCCTCCAAAAGCTAGAGTAGAACTCCTTGTGTCCACCCATAAGTCCACAAGACCATAAGAAATAGGAACAAGTGTAGGCTATTTGGCCCTTCAAGCTTGCTCCACCATTCAATAGGATCATGGTTGATCTGACATTCCTCACATCCATTTTCCTGCCCTTTTGATGTAACTGTTGATTCTACTAATGATCAGGAATGTATCTATCTCAGCCTTGAATATACACAAAGATTCTGGGAGCTGTCTGTGCCATGATGTTCCAAAGACTCTCAATCCTCTGAGGGAAGAAACTCCTCCTCATCTCAGTCTCAAAATGGCACCCCTTTATTCTGTGACTATACCCTCCGGTCCTAGACTCTCCCATGAGAGGAAACATCCTCTCAGAATTTACCCTGTCAAGCCCCTTAAAAATCCTATATATTTCAATGAGATCACTTCTCATTCCTCTTAACCTCGTGTTGGAGTCCCAACCTGTTTAATCTTTGCTATAAGACAATCTCTCTCCACCAGGGCTTACCCTAATGAACATTCTCTGAATCCACACAGTATCTGACGTTAGTAGAAAGAGAGGAGTCAATGTAACATGAACATTAACCTCTTCAAAACCTTTATCTTACATAATGCTGGGAAGCGACAGTCTGATATATGCTCATTGGCTGAGAGTACCTAAACTGAGTAAGATTGTTCATCAGCTTGATGTTGTGTTTGAGAGATGAATTCCTAATCTCACAACTGCACCATCGCAAACTATAACAATAACAACACACATTTATAAGAAATTTTAATGTGCTGAGGCAGTTAACAAGAATGACAGTAATTCTGCACTAAGCCGCATATAGAGATATCTGGACAGATGATCAAAAGCTTAATCAAAAAGCTAGCTTTGAGGAGAATCTTAAAGCGAGGCAGAGTGCTTCAGGAAATAAATGCCTCAGTTTAGGGCCTCAATTGTTGAAAAGACAGCTGACAATGATGTAGCAATTAAAATTGCGTATGTGTAGAGGACCAGAAATGAAAGAGTATAGAGATCTTGAATGTTTAGCTGGCGAAAGGATGTTACAGTGATAGTGGGAAGGGAAGTATCCTCTACTGCTCTAGATAAAACAAAGACAAGGTGGACTGGTAGCAGCAAACTACCTCATACTGGTAGAGGTAGCATGTACCACAAGGTACTTAGAGTGGTCATCTGTGAAAATACCATATCCAGGGTTCACCATTGCCTGCTCCAGGAAGCTCCACAATGCAGTAAGCAGAAAGAAAGATCTCAATGGAGCACAATTCCCAGCTGTTATTCTGCTGAACTACCTGAGGACACCAAGCAGCGGAGCGTCCGGAATGGCTGAGGTGAAAGAAACAAGGTAGATGACAGGCTGTGGCCTATATTTTTCCCTGTTTTATTTAGCAGGACCATGGAGGAAATATCACACATGGAATGTAACCTACTCAATATAATGCTGTAATGGGGCCACACAAATTAAAATAATTTGAATTTTCAGATATATCCTTTGTGTTTTGCAGTTTCCAGCACTGCTATGCACAGTTCAGTACTATGAATACAATAAAACAAGTCATTAACTTACGTGCGACTTTAGGAGTTGACCCAAATCTTTTTGAAGGTGAAAGAATTCCTACATAGGAAATAGAAGAAATTATTTCAATTTAATCCACTGATTACTTTTGTTTGATGAAAGGGTACTTTTAAGGTTTGTAATTAGCTTACTCAAACTATGAGGGAACTGCAAAGTTTTAGTCTCAAAAATAAAAAAAACTTTCCTTAACAAGTGTTTATATATTCATCCATTAAAAAGAGAAAACTCTCTCTTCTATGAGCTGGCTAATTGTTTTTAAGGCTAATTAATATAATTGTAATTTTTTGCCCTCTACATATCTCAATGGTGATTCTTCAGTCTTACTTGAACAGCCATGATGTAACTTACCCTGCTCATTCACATAACTTCCTTATTGTGCCTGACACACCAGTCCAGACACTCAAGATCATTAAGCTGCTGATTTAAAACCCACTCAAGGTCAATGGGCAGTTGTAAGTTAAGCAACATTGAAATGGTGCTCATCATTCATGAAAACAAAATCTACGCCCATTTCCTTGGGGCTTCCATGGATCATCTGCCAAAAGTACAGTGGCTATGCCAAAAAAAAACAGAATGGAGATTCAATCCAACTTTACTCAACAGATTAATTTTAACAGAACATTATCAAGTGTAGCATGAATTGATAATTGCTTTTTTAAAAATATTACCTTTGTACACCAATCCTTGGGAAGCAAGCATACTTGCAAGAGATAATGGCAAAGCTGAAAACAAGAAGATTCATAACAGTGAAATTCCATTCTGTCAAGACCAACATCAATCAAGGTTAATTATCCCAAACACATTGTGGGCAGTGAGCTAATGTTTCATGACTGAGGATCATTGAAGGAAATTTCCTGTTTTGTCTACTGATTGCTTACTTACATCAGAGGACGAGTTGTGGGGCAATGCTAGTGTCCTTGCCTCTAATCCAGAACTTCAGGATTCAAGTCCCACCTCAGGACTTGATAGCCAGAGTGTGTTATAGTGTAGCCAAGCAGCTTGGTTATCAATCTGGAAACTCTTCAAACGTACCGATGGCAAATGGTGAGTACAAGGGAGACTACTGCTCTGTTCAGAATCATGAGGTAATTACAGTGCAACAGCGTCTCCATGTTAAAAGACTCCAGAGGCAGAGTCCTGCACGTCCAAGTGTTATCCTCATTCTGAGGGACTGCCACTCTTACATTTGATTTTACTTTAATCCACGTACAACAGAACTCAATAGGACTGAAAAACGGCTGTAACTGGAAGTAATACATGGACTGCAGCAATTCAAGGAAGTAAGTTCACCATCGCCTATTTAAGGGCAACTAGGGACAGGTAATAAATGCTGGCCCAGCTAGTGACTCTCACGAATGAATTAAAAAACTACTGAGATGGGTGGAACACGGGTTATAGGTTGCAGGTGAGCGGTTGAATGGGCAAAAGTTCTGATTGTGTCAGAAAATCATCTCCTAGTTGCCACCTTCTAGGTTTTGCCCAGTATAGATCAGTGATAGATAGCCACTCTGCTCACAGAAGGTGAATTAGCAGTTTAAATTAGTCACATAACTTATCTCCAAAAGTAAGCAAACAGCTGAAGAAGGCAAGTGGTACGTTGCCTTTCATTGTGATAGGATTCGAGTACCAGAACAAGGATAACTTGTTGCTTTGGTGAGACCACAACTGGAGAATTGCGTACAGTTTTGGTCTCCTTATCTGAGGAAGGGTGTTCTGGTTATGGAAAGAGTGCAACAAAGGTTTACTAAACTGATTCCTGGGATGTCAGGACTGACATATGAAGGGAGACTGGATAGGTTAGGACTACATTCACTGGAGTTTAGCAGAATGTTGAGGGGATCTCAAAGTTACCTATAAAATTTGAACAGGACTACACAGGTTAAACGCAGGAAGGATGTTCCTGATGACCAGGGGGTCTATAGCCAAAGGTCACAGTCAAAGGTTACTGGGGTTTAGAATTTAGATTGAGGAGAAATGTCCTCACACAGAGAGTGATGAGTCTGTGGAATGTTCTGCCACAGAAACTAGTGGAGGCCAAAATATTGAATGTTTTCAAGAAGGAGTAAAGAGATTAAAGGGTACGTGGAGAAAGCTGGAACAGGGTACTGAATTGGATGCTCAGGTATGGTCACGTTAAATAGAAGAACAGGCTCGAAGGGCCAAATTGCTTATTCCTTCTCCAGTTTTCTATGTTTCTGTGATGTTGAAATCTTGGGATTTAACCCGGCAAAGCAAGTTATCTGGTTGGGTATGTTTCTTTGCTGCTGGCAGTAAATGAAGAAAAGAGTCAGAGAGCACTCTTTGTGAAACCTGAAGAGCAAGAGGATTACTAACTGGCATCACACCCACTCCCAGCTCCTTCACGATCAGAATGCCCACGACCTCCAGGTCCCACGCAGTAGCAAAATTCCTCACCCCTAGAGTGAGGCATTGCATCCTGTACAGGATCAAATACCAACCCTCGATCTGGGAATTAGAATCCTCTTTTGATCAAAATCTTCTGGCCCCTCTTATGGGGTCAGGGTTTGGATCCAGTTGGTCCTGCAACCTCTTCTCCAGTATTCCTGTCCAAATGGAAGCCAATCAGGTTGACATTTGGTCAGGAAGTCTGCCTTTGATGTACAGAACACACTGTGGCCTAGGTCCCAGAACTCCCACCTGCTAACTAAACCCATCTCCACTTTTGACAGGTCAAAAAGCCACATTTTCCACCCTATATCTACACAATTATTGTCAGAGATCAGGGGATTATGTGAATTTGACAGGGTGCAAGGTCAAGAGTGTAAAGTCCAGAAAATCAGGTCAAGAATAATTGTGTGACACAGATCTACACAATAATCACAACCAGGAGTATACATTCCATGCTGGTTATTCATAGGATCATAGTTACTTTAACCTGCTTAAATTTGCAGAAAACTGGAGAAAAGTTAAAAAGATCAACAAAGGGTGTGACAAATTATCAAAAATTAAGCAAATAAAACTTACCTCTGTACCAGAAGCTTTCACTCTTGCATTCCATTATGATCTTGCCAACTTTCTCATAATTATGTCTGTTGACACACCCATCCTGTGTATACAAAGTCAGTTGTTTAGTCAGTCATAAACAACATCATATTCTGTGGATGATTAAACTGTTTTACTATTACAGCTACCAACAAGACGATAATAAACAAAATTAATTAAACTGTTTTTCTGATGATATTTCCATATCCTGTAGTATTTGATCATCAGCTTCAATATTCATCCATCAGCCTATTCTCAATTAAGGCTCCAAACCTATGCAGATCCAAGTCCACCTCTGCCCAGTTTATGGAGAACATTTTATCACATTCCATACTGTGTACTTATCTGAGCATCTGATGAAGTTGGGGGAGACGTCTTCTTAGTTCTCCGTCATGCCAGAATAATACTTCTGGATGGTGTTAATAATTCAGATTTATTTTGAAAAGTGCATATTTTCAGTGAAAAGGAGGGGACATTGCAATTCATTATGGATTGCTCCAGAAAAGTGAATTCATGGACCTATGGTCTCCTGTCCTATAACATGGAAGTTTATGGATAAGTTACAACACAGAGCAAACCAATGGTGTCAATGATTTCAATGGAATATTATGTTGTCTATACTCTGTCTTTATTGGCTATAGTCAAAAGTCACATGACACTACGTTACTTTACTGGCTATAAGACAGAAGCCTGTGCAGTGAATGCCTCATGGTAGAGGTCATAGTCTACAGCAAACCAAGGGGCACAGTATTTCACTTCTATCCTAAACATATCCTTTCTCATACAAGAAAGGCTAAAATAGAATTGCATTCATTATCATTTACACTGTCAGTTGCCTAGGTTACAATTGTTCTCATGCACTAGCGGTTTGTTGTTGCCGAGTGTCTCTGCATGTACGTTGGCACAATTTAAAAACTGTGTGTGCAGTCTCTTAAAAGGAATGTGTATGTGTTCTCATTGACAGTTCATCAGATAGTGTTTCTTCTCTGCAAAATGTCACTCCCATGTCACTTGTTGCCACGGTAACTGTTATTCCATTTCTGTTGATGAGGTGCTATGGACCTCTGGGTTTGATGGTTAATCTGTCATCTGTGCTGATGGTAAGGTCACAACTTCCTGATTGCCACTTGCATTGAAGGACCATGTTCTCCAGTTCGGTCTATGTGCCTGTGGTTGTATCTCTGGTTGTTCACGTCCACTGCATACAATTAAAGTAACGACATTACCACTTGGACTGACTCTTGTTGAGACCATTTAAATGTACCTTGATTGGCTCTCTAATGCTCAACTCTGGCAACAGCTTGGCAGTTTTGTCAAAATGAAATTTGGCTTTCTGCTCTTTTACTTTGATTTTGTCATTCTTGCCTGTTACTATTTTGGACAGCAGTCATTTTGGTTGCTATTAGAAAAGTAGTTTAGATGTGAAATGATGTTAGTCTTTGGTCTGGACTATTTTCCATGCCCTCACTAAGTGTGTTTCTTCACTTGAGGTTTGCCTTGAATTTGGCTCCGCTGTATTTGTACAATTTCATTATGACCCTTTTGTCAATGTCACTGCCACCACAACCTGATTGAGGATAGCGTGGAGCTCATGTGTGGTGTTGAAATTCCTAATCTATTGTAAAGCATTTGAATCCTTCACTTGTGAATTGTGGGCCATTGGCACTCATCACAATGTCTAGAATATTAGAAGTGTGAACAAA